GGCCGCTGTCGTGATTTGATACTGTATCGCTTATTTGCAGCAAATAAGATCGCTATAGAAATACAAAATATTCAAATATACAAAATATACAAGAACTAAATTTGATACATACTTGACAAGGTAAGATTTACTTGACAAGAAATAGGCGTGCTGAGTTTAGGCTCGTTTTGATAGTTATCTTGATACCATTCCTCCGGACTTGAGAAGTAACCGAAGGTGTCTTTGGTGAATGCTACTGGAACTCCTTGACGAGTAGAACTAGGTGTACCGAATTTGGGCTGGTTTTATTAGTTATGATGAGACATTACCTCCGGACTTACTGGAATGACTTGAAGATGTACTTTGGTGACTGCTACTGGAGCTCCTCGACAAGTAGAAATAGGTGTGCTGAGTTTGGGCTCGTTTCGATATTTATTTTTACACCTTACCTCCGGACTTGAGAAATGACCGAAGGTGTACTTCGGTGATGGCTACTGGAACTCCTCGACACGTAAAGCTAGGTGTTCCGAGTTTGGACTAGTTTTGTTAGCTATGATGAGGCCTTACCTTTGGACTTGATGGAATGACCTGAAGGTGTATTTTGGTGACTGCTACTGGATCTCCTCAACGAGTAGAAACAGGTGTGCTGAGTTTGGGCTCGTTTTGATAGTTATCTTTACACCTTTCTTCCGGAATTGAGAAGTGACCGAAGGTGTACTTCGGTGAATGCTATTGGAACTCTTCGACCAGTAGAACAAGATGTTCCGAGTTGGGGCTGGTTTTGGTAGTTATGATAAGACAATACTTACGGATTTGATGGAGTGATTTGAAGGTGTACTTCGGTGACTGCTACTGGAACTCTTTAACGAGTTAGAACTACAATATACAATTTTAAGTAAAATATTTTTTCAGGATCATAATTATGAGCATAATGCTGGGTCGTAATTTTTTGGGTTTTCAAAACTTTTTTTTTATAGATGTTTGTCATGAAATTATCGGAAAATTGGAAGTATAGTAAAAAGGTTTATTAGTTAAAACTTGTGTGTATTTAAACCCCTTTAAAAAAGTTACGTATAACATGAGTGCTAAGGAATGCACATTTAGATTTACCAAAAGTTTAGGTTGTTTACTCGTTTTGTCAGTATTCAGTAATCAGTTATTGAATTCGAATTATTTATTGGTAGAAAATGCATGTAAAAGCAAAATAATGGGTTAAAGGTTAAGTGATTTTTGCTACTGTTACTGAAATCATTAAGGGTATTAAAAATAAATTTACAATTTTTGATTTACGTTCTTTTTCTACTGACTTCAAAAAGGAGACGATATTCAATTCGAATGGTTTTTATCTGTGTTACCTAATAACTTTTTTTTTGAAAGGTGGTACTTCACATGTTGTCCCATATAAATTAGATCAAGGTCTGACCAATAGTTTTTGAGTTATTCTTAGTAATTTATATTGAAGTCGGTTGTACAAAATTTTTAATATTAAATTATCTTCGTTTCTGTTTTAGCATTGAATTGGAAATAAAGGTCTCTAAAAGTCAACACAGATAATAAAAGTGACTCTCGTTTTTTTATATTTTTCAACAAGTTTTACTAGCTCTTTTATTTAACGACTAAGAAAAGGAGACCGTTCACCTTATACAATGCAGTGGCGGCTCCAGAGAATCCACTACCCATCCAATCCCATATCATCTCGTTGGTGTACGTAAAGGATGACAGAGGAAAAAAAACAATTTAACTCACGGTACCATCTACACCATCTGGATGCTAAGCCTACTACTGTGCGATTTACTTACAGTTTTCTTACTCACACGACGTTTTTGTGTATTTCTTAACATATGAATTGTTTTGAAGATGAATTGTGGCTAAATAAAAAATAAAGTGAATATCAATTTCCTAACCAAAAAAATGTTACCATAAAAGTGGTTCCAACAGAAAAATCTAATGGCTTTTGATTTAAGGCGGTATAACTATATCGGTTACGTTAGAGCCGCAACGTCAAAGGTGCGAGACGTTTTGCATTACCATTGCCTGCCAACCGTAGCAATTATGACAAATCACCCCTATACGTCTTTGAGTAGACTTTAAAGGGCTGATGATGATAGAAAAGAAAAATATATAATTCTTATGACAACTGTTCAGTGATGTCTCAGTGATCGCGAGGGTGAAAACCGGCAGCGATCACAGAAAGGTGAGAAGAGGTACACTGAACCTAAAAGTTAAGTTGGAGAGGTCACGTCTAATAAAGTCAACACCCAGTCCCCCTCGTGCTCTAATCAAAAGTCCCGAAACCTTTCAGCTCGAGCTACGAAACCGTTTTCAGTGCCTAGAAGATTGCAATGCATTGGACGATATGAATGACAAGCTCGTGGAAACTGTCCATGCGGTCGGAGCTAAGTTTTGCAAGACCCGCCGCAGAAGAACACAAAAATACTCCGATCACACTCTTGATCTCATGGCTGTTAGACGGGATATGAATCTGTAGTCTTCAGTAGATTTGACAGCATACAGGCAACTGAACAGACAGATCTCCAAATGCATGCGGCGAGACTTACGCAACTTTAATACTGCTCGTATTGAAGAAGCGAACGAGCGGAACCAAGGCTCCAAAGTCTTTGCTAGAGATCTGTCTGCCAGAAAGAGCCAACTGTCAAAGCTGAAGACCGAGGGTGGCAGCGTCGTTTCCAGGACACCTGCGATTTTGAGTGAAATTGAGAGGATCTATGGGCAGCTGTACACATCATCGTTAGAGCCACACGTAAGTGTGAGTCACGATCCAAGAGCGAGTCTTACCCGACACTATTCCAATGATATCCCGGACGTCAGTCTGAGCGAGATTAGAATGGCTCTCTAGCACCTTAAAAACGGCAAGGCCTCAGGCGAGGATGGAATTACAGCGGAGCTTCCTAAAGCGGGTTGAAAACCGGTACTTGAAGTCCATCAGAAGCTTTTTAATTCCGTCCTCCATGGTGGCATTACACTGGAGGCGTGGAGCAGAAGTGCGGTGATCTTGTTCTTCAAGAATGGTGACAATGCTATCTTGAAGAAGTACAGACCGATTTCCCTTCTGAGCTGCGTCTACGTGCTGTTTTCGAGAGTCATTACGAATCGTCGCGCGCGCAGACTTGACGATTTCCAGCCTCCTGAACAAACCGGTTTTACCATAGACCATATACATACCCTTCGGCAAATTGTACAGAGGTCCGAGGAGTACAATTTGCCCCTATGTCTGCCGTATATGGACTATGAGAAAGCCTTTAATTCTGTCGAAATTCGGGCGGTGCTGCAGATAGGTCTTAAGATGAACATGGACAAAACAAAGATCATGTTTAATGTCCATGTCACACCTATGCCGGTAGTTGTTGGGAGCACTAAGCTCGAAGCTGTTTACTTTATTTATTTATTTTATTTATTTTTTTATTTATTTCGACCAGGAAGGATCATAGGGTAATATTACATTCATTCAAGTTAATTCTAATACTATAATTATTACTCTTTACTAAAATTAATATATCAAATGCATTAGTATTCATAATAATATTGAAAATATAATAATTATGTAATATTAACAAAATAATATAAATCAATGTAAACGTAACTCACAACAAATATATTAAATATATTAAATAAATTAAAAATATATTAACAAAATCATAAACATAAATTATATTAATGATATAATAATAATAATTAATTATTTATTGCAGACGATAATTTGTTAAAAGTAGATAGTAAAATTAAATAAAAATTACTTCATATATCTGGGTTGCCTGTCCGAGGCAACGGATACATGGACATGAACATGCATCCAGTGCCTCAAAAAAGTACAATCGGGTTTCTCGCTAATTACGTTAAGAATGCTGTTGGCGCTCCCACGAACCCTGTGCATCAGTGACGCAGTTTTTATGCGAATCAGTGTTGAAAAATTGTCTATGTGGGCGTCAACAAACATACCTGATGCACTACAGTAACGTGGGAGCCCCAGCAACAATCTAAAAGCGTTATTATAATCTATACGTAGGGTGTTGTATGCCCGCTGCGTAAATCTGTTTACGAGTATTACCTGGGACAAATAGTCTGACTAGGGAAGTTCGGGAAACTACGACACATCTTCTCGTCAGACATACCTCAAAACCTTAAAACGTTGTACAACCAGTGCGTGTTGCCAGTGATGACTTACGGATCTGAGACGTGGTCCTTCACTGCTGGCCGTATGAGGAAGCTCAAGGTCGCTCAGCGAGCTATGGAGAGGGCTATGCTCGGAGTATCTCTGCGTGATAAACTTAGAAATGAGAATATCCGTAGTAGAACTAGAGTGACCGACATAGGCCAACAGATTAGTATGCTGAAGTGGCAGTGGGCCGGCCATATAGCTCGAAGAACCGACAACCGATGGTGAAGAAAGGTTCTTAAGTGGCAGCCTCGTACCGGTAGGCGAAGTGTAGGGCGACCCCCCACGAGATGGAGTGACGACCTGGTAAGACATGGAAGTCGATGGATGCAGGTGGCTCAGGACCGTGCTTTGTGGCATTCCTTGGGGGAGGCCTATGTTCAGCAGTGGACTTATGAAACGCTGTAATGATGATGATGAATATTCCGTATTGAAATATCTGTTTTTACTCGTTTTGTCAGTATTCAGTAATCAATTATTGAATTCGAATTATTTATAGGTAGAAAATACATGTAAAAGCAAAATAATGGGTAACAGCGGTTACTGAAATTATTATTGCTATTAAAAATAAATTGACAACTTTCGACTTACGTTCTTTTTCCTCTGTTGTATATTTATATACTTAGGGAGTGACAAGGGCGATACGTCAATTAGACAAGCTAGTTAATTGCACACTGGTTTAATGAGACAGCGACCGTTCGGTGGGGAACGCAGCCCGCACACCTTTACACACATAGACATACACAACATCCCTCCACCTTATAGCTAACATAATATACGAAATTAATAAGTACAAAAGTTCACAGCTATGAAAACATAGATCACGTAGGGAAACGTAAGCCGCAATCTAGGTATACTCCTGTTCCGATGTCGGCGTAGAGAATATCGGGCTTATAGCTTGTCTTCTTCGAGTAGCGGCGCTAGCAAGAAGCGGAGTCTTCGGGAACTCACTAATATATGTCCTTGCCAGGTCTGGTTCCGTTATATCTCGTCCTTCCCCTCCTACATCAGCTGTGGTTCCAGACCGGACTCCGTCACTAGAAGTAGTAGCGGTCAGCTCGTCGGGCACCACATCCGGGTCCCATTGCCAGTCATCTCTAGCCGGTGAGTATAACCGTGCCCTTAAGTGATCAATATGTCTCGTGACTTCGCAATTATATTGAGGTACGTATATTTTATACATTACGTTTCCAATTTTTCTTTTCACTATGCCTTCGATCCAACTGAATTTTTTATTGTCTATATTTTTTGTTAACCACACCTTATCATTAATTTTTAATTCTGTTCTTTTTGTCCCTTTATAATTATGGGCCTGTAATAACTGATTATGTTCCACTGTTTTAACGAGGTCTGTGGACGCTGGAGATGACGCGAATGGATTTAATAAATCTAGCCGTGAACGTAACGCGCGCCCGTATACAAGTTCTGCTGGTGACTTGTTTGTGGTACCGTTTTTAGAGTTCCTATAGTCAAATAAAAATTTTGATATTTTTTCTTGAACTATTTTTTTATTTACGCTTTGTAAAATAATACCCTTGAGGCCCTTTTTAACAATTTTGACAAAACTTTCTGCTTGTCCGTTACTACTTGGATGATACACCGGGGATAATATGTGTTTTATTCCGTTTTGTAGACAAAAACTTCTAAACTCCTGAGACGTGAAAGAGGTTCCATTGTCACTCACCAACGTATGAGGTACTCCGAAACGGGACATAAAATCGTATAATCTGTTAATAACAGCTTTGGAATTATAAGAAGTATTCCTATTATAACATTCAACCCATTTACTGTAAGCGTCTACAATAATCAAATACATGAAATTGTTGAATGGACCTAGAAAGTCAAGATGGACCCGATGAAATGGATGCGGTGGCAAGGGCCAGGGAGCGAGGGGTGCGTGCGGCGGCGCGGGCCGCAGCGCTGCGCAGACGCTGCAAGCGCCTGCCAGCTGCTCCAGTGCGGCATCCACCCCGGGGAACCATAAACGTTTACGTGCCTCCGCTTTCATTTTTACCACCCCGAAATGAGAACTATGCAATTCCTTACATATGAACTCTTGAAGTGATGCGGGAATCACAACTTTATGGCCGCGCATTAAGACACCGTTTTCATAAGATAGTTGATATCTACAATTGTAAAAGGATTTTAAATCTAAATCATTATTTTTTCTTGGCCACCCATGTAAAACGTGGTGCTTAACGCGACACAGAACCGCGTCGTTGCTCGTCTCGCGTTGTAAATCTTTCAGCGTCACCGGCAGACCACCATCGACTACGAAATTAACATAGGCAGCGCGATCTTCGCACGCCGCGAGCTCGTCTAACTCACTAGCGGACGTCATCATCGGCTCGAGGCGCGATATGAACGCAGGGGCATACGCTCTGGACAAGTAATCCGCGCTGTTATGTTTGCTACTGATATATTCGATTTTGTAATTATAGGCCGCCAGAAACATCGCATAACGCTGTAGTCGGTTGGCGGACACCTCAGGAATGCCTTTATGTGGCCCGAATATAGTCAATAGTGGCTTATGGTCTGTTCGTAGCGTGAACGGCGTGGATCGACCATACAAATACTGATGAAAACGTCTTACGCCATAAATAATGGCCGTCGCCTCTTTCTGTATTTGTGCGTAATTCTTTTCAGCAGCTGTAAGCGTTCGCGAGGCATAAGATATGGGTCTTTCTAATCGGTCGTCGCCTATCTGAGACAATACAGCCCCTAACCCTGTTGGAGACGCGTCAACTGTCAATATTAACTCAGCATTCGGGTTAAAGTGGGTTAAAATTTTGTCACTAGCGAGATACTTTTTTATTTTCTTGAACGCATCGTCATGTACAGAAGTCCACTCCCATTTAGATTTTTTATTTAATAAGTGGTAGAGTGGACTTAGTATAGACGATGCGTTCGGCACGAAGTTACGATAATAATTCGCCAAACCAAGGAAAGACTGCAATTGTAAGACATTATTCGGCTTAGGTGCTTCGAGAATGGCCTTTACCTTCTCTGGTGATTTCCTAACCCCAGTTTTATCTATTACGTGACCCAGATAAGAAATCTCATCTTTAAAGAACTCACACTTATTCATTTGAACACTCAATCCTGCGTCGTCTAAGCGCTGTAGAACAGCCATAATCCTTTGTTCATGGTGAACTTTGCTTTTGCCCGTGATTAGAATATCATCAAGCAAAAATATTATTCCCTCAATCCCAGCGAGCAAACACTCCATCGCACGCTGAAAGATTGATGGAGCAGATGCCAGACCAAAGACCAACCGAGTAAAATTAAAAAGACCGCGGTGTGTATTTATACATGTGATTTTTTGTGATTTATCGCTTAACACGAATTGATTGTAGGCCATAGATAAATCAATTTTACTAAACTGTATGCCATCGTGTAATTTTGCCAATAAATCGCTTACTGTGGGTAAAGGATACTGGTCAACTATTAACTGTTTATTAATAGTTACCGAATAATCGGCACATAAACGGATGCTACCGTCCTTTTTCAATACCGGCACTATCGGTGAAGCAGTGTCTGAGTGCTCAACGGGTTTTAAAATGCCTAACGCCAACAAACGATCTATCTCTTTGTCTATTTTTTCCTTTAGGGCATATGGTACGGGTCTAGCTTTGAAAAATATAGGTTTTGCGTCCGGTTTTAAATGTAAATCAACAGTATACTTATTAAATGACCCAAGCTTACTAGAAAAAACATTAGGGAATCTTGAGCATAATTTCTTTACTATTGTTTCGTGGCAATCACCTTGCGCTTGCGCGTATACCGCATGCACACGCTGAGAGCTGCCGCTGGCGACAGGCTGTGGCTGCGCATGCGCTAATTCTAAGTTAAAAACACGAATGAAGTCCCTGCCCAGAAGCGACGGTCCGCCATTGCGCACTACATACACGCTTAGAGTATGCGAGATCCCACTATATTCTATAGGTAATGAAACTAACCCGATGGTTTGTATGTGTTCGCCCGTATAACTTAACAGCTTTTTGTTGGTGGCTGACAATGGCAAATAATTAAATTTAGTAATATAAGTTTTTTCCGAAATTACACTTACTGCAGAACCGCTATCTATTTCAAACTCTAAAGAAATACCATTTATCATAACGCGTTCCGTCATTGGTTTCCCTTTCAAGCACCGAATATTGTAAAAACACTCACCGTCGTCGTCTCCTTCGACCACACTACCTTCCTCGACATATTTTATTCTGTCATCATAACGGCACATTTTTCGTAAATGACCTTTCCTATTACACTTTTTACACTTGAAATTTTTATAACGACACTGATTGGATTTATGATTGGCATAACCACACACATTGCACTTTTCCTTCTTGGAGATGTTGAATACGCCGCCATCCGCGAATCCACTCACACCGACGTCACTCGCGCCCGGCGCCGCAACTGATGAAGCGTGACGTGCACAGCGCACGCTCTCCGCCAAGTTGATGGCCTTTGCCAGGGTCAACTCCCGCTGATCTTGCGCGAAGAGTTTGTCCCGCTCGTGTCCTGCCGCCATGCCCATGATGAATCTGTCCAACAAAGCTTCCTCCAAGTTCTTAAATTCACAATGTGCCGCCAATCCCCTAATTCTGGCCGCCCACTGAGTGTGACCTTCACCTGGTCGCTGAGTTGCCGCATAGAAAATAGATTTTTCTGCAAACCCCAACCTTTTGGGTGTGAAGCGATCATCGAGGAGCTTAATTATTGCTCCGTAGCTCAACTCTTCCACCTTGCTGGGTAACGCCAGGTCATTAGCTAACTTGAACGTCGATTCACTTAGCGCACTCAACAATATCGCTCGCCGCTTTACTGTTGCTTTGTCAGTTTCATTGGTTATGTCGTTTGCGATAAACCACTGATTCAATCGCGATTTATAACTGTTCCATTCGTGCGAAAGATGATCGAATGTTGATATAATGCCAAAAGTTACACCCGTCGACATTTTTAATGTAAATACGCGAGTTCGTTCGTCGCCACGTGTTGTATATTTATATACTTAGGGAGTGACAAGGGCGATACGTCAATTAGACAAGCTAGTTAATTGCACACTGGTTTAATGAGACAGCGACCGTTCGGTGGGGAACGCAGCCCGCACACCTTTACACACATAGACATACACAACATCCTCGTTTCTGTTTTAGCATTGAATTGGAAATAAAAGTCTCTTAAAAATCAATACAGACAACCAAATTGACTCTCGTTTTTTATATATTTTTTATTTTTATAAGTTTTATTAGCTCTTTTATTTTACCCTTTAAACCGAAGAGTGGGTTTATCACTGTATTACTGCAGAAATAGGTAAATGGGTCGCTATAACTCAGACGGACTAAGCAGAGAAGGAAACCTTTCACCTTACATAATGCAGCGACGGCTCCAGAGAATTCACAATCCATCCGATCCCATATCATCTCGTTGGTGTCGTAAAGGTTGATAGAGAGAAAGGACGATTTAACTTACGATACTGTCCACACCATTTGGATGCTTGGCAGCCCACCACAGTGCAATTTACTAAGAGTTTTCTTCCTCGACCGACGTTTTTGTGGAATTATTTACTACGGGCATTTTTCCGGACCGACACCACTGGGCGGCGGTCAACACTTACCCACAGGTGAGCCACATGCTATTTTGCAAGGGGCAATATATATATACTGAAATTAGGAGATGGTAGCAGCAGCGGATTTTTGCTAATTAACTTTAACATCCGTAATATAAACGAAAATAACTTCGTTGACAACGCCTGTCATGCTAGTATCATTATAATGATGATGATTAACACGTTGTACAATTGATTTTCATTACATTGCTTGCGATACCTGCGTTGTAACTGCAACGAAAAAATTCAAATTTAATATTTATCACCACAAAATATTTTATCAGTGCTGTCACAGCGTTGCTTAAAACTTTATTGTGACTTACAGCAGGATATTACAAAGGCAAAGCATGCAAAAAAAGTTGTTAATGAGGACATAATAAATCATTCCTTTATCACATGTATGTACTTCAGTTTGAATAGGAATGGTTTTTAGCGCTAAGTGAACTGTAGAGCTTGTGTTGGGCTGAATAAAACAAACAGTGAGATGGGCAGCAGCGTCATCCTTAAAATAACTAATAAATAGAAAACTGTGGTTGCAAACCCGCTTGCCAAGCGTGACAACTGTAGCAAGTCCCTCCCCCCACCCCTTTGAGGTGATCTATTTGGGAGCCCTATGTTTGGTGGTGTACTTTTGATATGTTATAACGGTAACTGAGATGTAATGTCGCTTTATCACTCAAGACCGCATCACGACTTTATATAGCCCAACGGATCCGTAAACTTAAGTGACGATGGGCCAGCCTTATAGTTCAAAGAACCGACTATTGATGGGGAAGAAAGGTCTTTGAGTGGCTGCCTCATAATTGTAAGCGATATGTAGGGCAATTGCCCAATAGATGGATTGACGACGATGGTGTGTTCATCGAGTCCGCACATGCGCATGTGGCTTACTTTACATCATGTCTTCGATTTTTTTTAATTTCTCACACACAGATTCCCAGACGCTAGTATCCTTCATCGCTAATTACGTGATAAACCAGTACTTAACCAAACAAACCACAACAAACCAGCAATAATTGTAACTAACAACATATTAGTGGCAGCGGGGATCAAGCCCGAGTTGCTCTACACTGTGTTGACTGTGAATCCACTGACTGTGGATTTACAGCGAACACTTGCACCTTTAACTACCTCGGCTCTCATAAAAAATATATTTTGTTTGATATAATATTCTTGGTGTATTACAATTTTAAGTGCTAATTCATCATATGGTAGTAAATGAAGATATTGTGAGAAGCCCGCCTGCATGAAAAATTATAATCATTTCGTGGATATGTCAAATCTACCTAATTTATTTGGGCAGCACGACGGACCCTTTCCTGTATCAAAAATGTTCTTAGAAATTACAGAAAGCCCGTGCCTAGTGGGAAGAATGTGGGCTGTAACTTTATATAATATGATATAAATGTTCTATTTACACATAAAGACAAAATTACGCATGGTTTATTTAGGTGACTGCAGCATAGTGGTAGGGCGCGGACCGCGAACTCAAAAAGCTGTGAATTCAAATCCGACAATCGATTGTACTCTGTACTGTTGTGGACCACTCTTAACATATACACTTTTAGTATTTAAAACCAAGTGGTAAACGGAAACTGTAGTTAGTTGCAATTTTAATATCATTGCCGTTGCTAAAAATAACATTGACCCTAGCCATAGCACAGATATGCGACTACCGTATGGCAGTGGCATAAGATTATCTCTCACGCAATCCTCTCTCAGTGACGTAAACGTCAACAAAGGGAATCACCAGAATGATCTAATAGTCTCAATCAGGTAGTAGTGTAAAAATCTCGTATATGGCAGATCTAAAATATCCTAATCTATGACGAACGATGACGGAAGCTGTGTCAAAAATGTAAGTGTTTTGATGCTTCGATTGCCAATAGATCTGCCAAATATGGCAATTACTACTACAATAGATATTTCAACCTATGTTTACTCTCTATTTAGAACAGTGATAGAAAAGACAGTGGTAGAGCCACGCGACAGCTTTTGCTGTCGCACGGAAGGGCCGGCTCGAACCGGGGTGGTAACACGACCTCACAGAATACCAGCGTGAAGTAGAGGTTTACCTCTGCGTTTCGATTGGTGAGTGCAGGTGGCCGGAGGCCCTTTTTACTGGAAATGAGGCATTCCATCTTAGTCCCCACGGGTGGCAACGCATCTGCATTTTGATTCGCAAACGAGGATAGATGTAGATGTCTATGGGCCGCAGCAACCACTTACCATCAGGTGGACTGTGTGCTCGTTTATCACCCTTATCCTATAAAAAAAAACTGAGAAAAAAAAGGCATAAATAAAAAGAAGGTTTCATTCTAGTGTAATTCAACTTGTTTGTATATACAACTCGATTTGCAGTTAGAATTCCACTTCTATCTGGTTTTATTTTTCGATAGGATGCTTTGAATATGCAATCGAGGCTAACGGGTGTTTTTAAATATCTGCACGCCATTTGTTCCATGTTGGAAACCATGTAGTATACATTATAACAACAAGTGCTTTTGTTCATATTTAATTCAACAAAAGTTAATTATTTTTGAAAAACATTTTAAATTTTTAAAAATGTTGTAAGCACAGACTAACAAAGAAAGATAGACGAAACGCTGCGTACATTTCAAATGATGTCGAAATCATGCTCAACTTCTTGACACCCATCCAGTTGCTTAAATCGTAGAATCTACAGAAATTTACAACATTCTTGGAACTATTATGGAGCTTGGCGCCCGTTCAAAGGACAATGCCAGATCGTGCCTCACTTTATACAAAAAAGGTAAATATGTACGTATATTATGTAAAATAATCTTATGAATTTTGAACTTTTTTGTGATAAATCGTTATTTTGTACATTTTGCGGTAAGATTTTACTTAAAAAAAGAGAATTCAACGATTACAGAATATTTATTATTTCCAGTATTTCCGAATAACATCTGCGTTTCTTTGTACAAATAATTAAATACGTACGCTTCAATATCAAACTTAATTTACAATATATTATAAGTCTTTGTCACAAAAAAATATTATTTACCAATTTTTATTTTCATCTTATACAAACTATGAATTATGAGTCGATATTAATCTTTTGTTGCATTAGATCATTACTAAATTACAACCAATGATTTTTGTGCATAATACACACAGGTCATTGTGTCAATATCGTAAGTATACGTATGTCGAATTAGTGTCGTATATTTTCACATGTTAACTGATTTGTGCTTGTGAAACACATTAATTATATTCTCTTCTTGCTTGTGCTGGTTCCCGCTTTCTTTACCGTTGCACTTTTTCCTGCTTCTGTGGACGACTTAATATGCTTTTATTATACGGACTCAATCGCGCTTACTTATTGACTTACTGCTAATTACCATGGAAATTTTAATAGTTGCTTACATTTTCACGATGTTGAGGTGCACTAATTGTCAGCTTTGCGTCGATTGGGAATTTCGTGTCCTCATTACCATCTACAATCTTCATTCTTCTTTCAACATAGAGATCTTTACAACAGGTAAGTTTACCTTAATAGCTTTTTATATACTTAGCGGCACGGAATGTGGCCCAAACGCACTATGAGTGTTATTATCAAAATGAACCGTGATACTGTTATTTTTTGTCTTTGAAAAACTTTATTGTTTATTCAAATCTTAAATGCAAATGATTAATAAACAAAAAATGTGGTAACGTTCAATTTTTTTAATTAAATAACATTAAAGACATTAAGCACTAAATTTAACAAATGTTTATTAGTGAATTTAACAAATTAAAGCTAACAGTAACTAACGTAAGTAGCGGTTTTTTCCACCTCTGACCCTGATAACCGCCTGCATACAATCAGGCATGGTGTGGGTGATGTTTTTGATATCCCTTTGGGGTATTCCTTCCCAGGCGGCCACCAGAGCGGTTTTCAGTGCACTGAAATTCTCTAGAGGGTTGAGATTGGATCGGGTGCGACGTTTAAGCATATCCCAGACATGTTCTATGGGATTCATGTCTGGGCTTCGTGCTGGCCACTCCAATTTAAAAATCCTCACCTCCGAAAGATAATCATTAAGGCATCGTGCGGTGTGTGGTTGGGCGTTATCTTGCATTATCTTAAATTATTTGCCCTCAATGAATTCCATATAGGGTAAAACATGATCTTGGATGATCTCTTTAATGTATTGCACTGCCGTTAAACGACCTTCAACTACCACTAACTTTGTACGTGCATCTGCACTGATCCCTCCCTCAACCATTACGGATCCATCATGAAAACTTACGGTTTGCTTGGTGGTGATTGGCAGAAACCTGTCTCCAAGCTTTCTCCACACACATTCACGGCCATCTGGAGCTCTTAAGGCTACTCTGCATTCATCGGTCCACAGAACTTTACTCCACTACTCATGAGTCCAATTTGTATGCTCGGTAGTGAACCGAAGTCGAGCTACGCGATGATGCCGGAGCAGTTCTGGACCTCGTACTGGTCTTCAAGTACGCAGGTCTAGTTCCACTATTCTCCTTCTTATCATCCGCTCACTAACGTTGACCCCTCTTGCCGTTTGCAGACGCTGCCTTATTTCAACCGCAGTAAGGAACCGATTTCTCAAAATTGCGAGGGTGATAAATCGGTCATCCTGCGCTGATGTACACCTGATTCTGCCACTTCTTGGTCTCTTCCTGTACAGACCGATCTGATCGTACCTTTTTAAGGCGTATTTAAGGGTTGTACGCGGTACATTTAAAAATTCCGCAATCTCTCGCTGCGTTCGCCCTTGACTCCAAAGCAACACAGCTTGATTAACTTGAGCTGGAGTTACAGTTATTGTGTTCCAATTCTGAAAGCAAGAAAAGACTACACATTAATTGAAAACCGAAACCAAAAGAAGAATCACCAACAATATAATGAGCCATAATTTAAACATTAAATTTTAACTTACCTTTGTTTCGTGCGTTCTGGCGACAAACTAACACTGAAACTCACAGAAATTAAACAAATTAACGTTTTTTCGTGCTTGCCCTCTTAAATCAACAAAAACAAACGTCTTGACAATCTGTCACTTGAAATTCTTATTCACTGCACCAAAATCGCCTGTTATCGGTTTGTTTATGTTTGGGCCACATTTCGTGCCGCTAAGTGTAGTTAGTGTAGTTGATATGGTCATGCCGTTATCGTAAGCTTATTAGTTAATAATCTGTAAATATTTACACCTACTTCAAAGACTGCAATATTCCACCTAAATTATCTCACTGCGGGACCTCTATGTCGGAGGTTCGTATCACAAATACGGAGGTTCTTATCACAAATACGGAGGTTCTTAAAATCTTGCGGTGTCTAAACGTAAATAAAGCAAGTGAATCAGATGGTATACCAGCTATAGTTCTAAAGGCTTGTGCACCTGAGTTGTCTTCTGTGCTGACACACTTGTTCCACCTCTAATTTAGGACTGGAATTGTGTCAAAATCCTGGAAGCTGGTCAACGTGCAGCCTGTTCCAAAAAAGGCAGCCGTGCCGACCCTGCCAATTATCGGCCAATCTCAATTACCTAATATACGCTCCATAATCTTGCAGATTATGGAGCGTATATTAAAAGCCCGCATAATACAAAATGAATATAATAACAAAATAAATAAAATAGAACCTAGAACTTCGCGAAACTCGTATAACAAGGCACTCGAGAACAGTGGTGAAGTACTTGCTGTTTCCTTGGACGTTTCGAAGACCTTTGATAGGTTTTGGCAAGCTAGTCTATTGGGTAAGATTGCAGCATACGGCTTATCCCCTAGCCTGATTGACTGGGTAAAGGACTTTCTGAGTGAACGGTCTCTCCGGGTCTTCATCGATGGCTGCACATCTGATCCTGTGGCGACTAACGCCGGTGTTCCTCAGGGGTCCGTTCTCTCCGCAACTCCCTTCCTGCTGCATATTAATGATCTGCTTATTCCCGGTATCTATAGGTATGCAGACGATAGCACAGTTGTGGAGAGATACCAAACGGTTTGATTTTTTTTCGGCTGAAAAATACAATACGGATATTTACAAAAGTGCCGTGTTGTTTAAAAAACTACGTCAAAAATAAAAACAATTGTCTGAAGATGGTTTTTACAAAACCAACTTTTTAGTACATTTTGTAGCGCGAACTAGCGAAAGGTAATATCGTCTCTAAATAACTTTTAGTCCATTTTTATTGAATTATTTTAATTCCTTAACATTTTAAATTATTGTCATTGCTGTTTAGCGGACTTGAAAATGGTACATGAAGGGATAAAAGCCAACATAATATATAAATATAAATATAAATTCGGAGTACAAGACTACTAAAAATTATGTAACTCTCTAATTAGTAAGATCTTTTTTTATGAAATTCCATCTTAATGTATTTGATATTGTTGTACCTATGGTTATGTTAATGATACACAAAACCTTCTTACCTCTGAGTGAAGCAGGGATGTAGTACTCTATGAACGATAAAAATCTCAATTGCACTCAGTTTTTACCCTCTTCAAATTATAGGAGGCCTGTTTACAGCTTCAGGACGTATGTGGACTATAAAAAAAAAACATCAACACAGTAGCTCATATGCTAAAATAGACAAATGTTTCACGTTGTTGGTATTATAAATGTTGTGGCGGATTTGATCGATAATTATTAATTTCAAGTGATAACAACATCGAAACTAACGGTTAAATTGTGACATCATTATAATGATATTTCTTATCAACATAATTGTGCAACAGTTTCATGAAACTATTAAAGCGAAACGATCGACAGTATAGATTTTATTAATTAATTGAATATTAATATATTGTTTTGTAATTCGTTAATTATTAATTAATTCATATATTATTTTATTTTTATAATTGGTTTAAGTAAGAATATTTATGCCGTAGGTGTAGTAAGAAGCGTCACACGGGAAATGAATCAAGAATCAAGTCAACCCGCCTGTTTTTACTAGTCAAGCTTGGTTGGCAAATATGGCAAATTTTCAGCAGGGGCCTTTTTATAGGCTGCAAAGAATAAATGTATGAATGGAAAGCACAGCTTTAGGAGACCCCGTTTAGATTGAGGGATAACCTGATGAAAAACGCAGGTAGTCGATCGATGCAGGTTGCTCGGGCTCACTTAGTAAAGTACTCTATGGGCATGGACACTCTATGGGCTAGGTTATGGTGCAATTAATTAGCATGCCGCGGTGCTCCAGGGCGTGTTGGTGGACTTCATATGTCTTCGAAATGTTTTTATTCCTCCGAATCGTGGTAGAGCCATGCTGTAACTATTTTATGGTTGTAGCACGAATGGGATGGCTTGACCGGGGAAGGAACACGCTCTCACAGAAATATTATCATTATTATTACGAGTATTATATATTTAAATACTGTTAAGGAAATATATGACTTTTATTTCCTTAACAATACTTAAATACATTTTATAAATTTCATTAAATAATTTCAAATTTATAACAAAATTATAACAGATCGAAACATTATAAAATCAGAAACGAAAAAGGTTAGTTAAAGTTACAAAGGTATTACTACAATTTCATCATCATCATCTTCTTCTTCTTCTTTTATCTATTTCTTATATTATTATTTAAAAAAAGTCTAATATTATTTAGCAGTGACTCATAAAGTAAAATATTTTATATGAGCCATGTAATTTATATGCTTCTTCATTTTATAGCTTCAATTTGCTATAGAGAAATTTATACGTTTCTCTTGAAAAATATTGTTCCTATTATTCTATCTTCGGAGATAAGGGACGGTACCGCCGACATCTGTCGAGCTTGTCGACATCCCGGTGTGTCACTTAGACATGTCATCTCTGGTTGTTCGGCGCTTTCTAACTCTGAGTACTTGCACAGATACAACCTAGAAGAAGGAAACTGCACCAGGAGCTCACTCTGAAATACGGTCTCGTGGATCGGAAATTGCCTTATTACAAATATTTACTAGAAGTCGTGCTCGAACATGATCGCGCCAGGCTCTACTGAGACTGGGCCATCATCACAGACAGGACTATTCTTGCGAATAAGCCTGATATTGTGCTGATGGACCGGGCACAGTCAAGGATATTTTTGGTCGAAATTACCATTTCGTATGACGAGAACCTCGTGAAAGCCGAAACAGGTAAGAAAACAAAATATCTGGACCTGGCTCATAATGTGACTGACATGTAGGGTGGTCTGCCGACCGAAATTATTCCTGTAGTCGTCTCTGCGAACGGACTAATCCCGGTCAGCCATTCCGGTCATCTGAGGCGAGTGGAACTCCGTGACGGATCGCTCTGGGCTCAAATTTAAAAGGCGGTGCTCCTCGATACCACCCGCATCGTCCATGCGTTGCTTTTCCTCTTCCCCTAACCCTCGGCCGTTTGGTCTCTCCTGCCGAGGGCATCAATCTGGTTGATCTTATATTTATTTACCTATATTTATTCATCCCAACCAGAAGGGAATACTCTATTATTCTATATTCTTATTATTATGCTTAAAATTTTTGGTACATATTCTTACAAATCCTGAGTTCCTGCAATTCTTACCAATAATAATAACAGTCTACAATGTTGGATGTTCTACTATTTTCTGTTATGATTTTCTAGAGTTGATTTCAACCATGCTTTGAGCTTACAGGCAGGCTATTACAGGCAGTGCTAGTTCATGGAATTCCGAGGTTCCGAGGTTGTTGTGGAAGAACAGCAGCGCTTGATTATTGTTTATATTTACTTATTTATTTATAGACTTTTTATTATTATTATAAGTCAGTGTTTGACTACTATTCCACCTGATGGTAAGTTGTGATGCAGCTAACATTAGCAAAAGCCTATTTACTCTTGCCCTGAAGACACTCACATAATATAATGATTACTTATATTTACCCGAACACTACAAATTTGAATAAAACTAGTTTTTACGGATTTTATTGCGTATATTATAACTTATTTTATATTCCCACTACTTTACAGCACCCATGGTCATGAAAGGACTGAGGTGTTTGACGTATCAATATCATAGTTAACAATGGCTACCTCCAGATTAAAATTCCTTCACAGAGTACATATGTATGTGTTCTATGGTGCTAAAGCCCTTTTGGAAAGCGGCTTTTTTTATAGGATATGGGTAACAAACGAGCACACAGTCCACCTGATGGTAAGTGGTTGCTGTGGCTCATAGACATCAACATGCAGATGCATTGTCACCCGTGAGGACTAAGATGTAATGCCTCCTATTCCAGTAAAAAGGGTCTTCGGTTCTCTAAACTCACCATACGAAACACAGCAGTGTTATGCTGCTATTTTACGGTGATATTCTGTGAGAGCGTGGTCATTTCCCGGTCGAGCCGACCCATCCATGCTACAACTATACTACTAATATAGCTGCAGCATGGCTCTACAACGTATATAACTTTCGAAAATAGCACATAGATGTGGCTTAGAAGGGAAATAGGCCTGTAATTCTTCAAGAGAGCGTTGTCGCCTTTCTTGGAGAACAAGAGCAGCGCACTTCTGCTCCACGCCTCCGTTGTAGTACCACCATGGAGGATGTAATTAAAGAGCTTCTGAAGGACTTCAAGTACCGGTTTTCCACCCGCTTTCAGAAGCTCCGCTGTAATTCCATTCTCACCTGAGGCCTTTCCGTTTTTAAGGTGCTGGAGAGCCATTCTAATCTCATTCAGACTGACGTCCGGAATATCATCGGAATAGTATCGGATAAGACCTGCTCTTTGATCGTTACTCACACTTGCGTGTGGCTCCAACGATGATGTGTACAGCTGCCCATAGAACCTCTCAATCTCACTCAAAATCTTAGGTGTCCGGGAAAAGACGCTACCATACTCGGTCTTCAGCTTCGACAGTTGTCTCTTTCTGGCAGACAGATCTTTAGCAAAGACTTTGGTGCCCTGGTTCCGCTCGATCGCTTATTCAATACGAGCAGTATTAAAGTTGCGTAATTCCCTCCACATGCATTTAGAGATCTGTCTGTTCAGTAGCCTGTATGCTGTCAAATCTATTGAAGACTGCAGCTTCATTTCTGTCTCATATCCCGTCTAACAACCATGAGATTAAGAGTGTGACCGGAGAGTTTTTGTGTTCTTCTGCGGTGGGTCTTGCAAAACTTTGCTCCGACCGCATGGACACTTTCCACGAGCTTGTCATTCATATCGTCCACTGCATTGCAATTTTCTAGGCACTGAAAACGGTTTCGTAGCTCGAGCTAAGAGGTGTCGGCACTTTGGATTAGAGCACGAGGGGGACGGAGCCTTGACTTTATTAGACGAGACCTCTCAAACTTACTTTTAGGTTCAGTGTGCCTCTCACCATTCGGTGATTGCTGTCTGTTTTCACCCTCGCGACTACTGAGACAACACTGAACATTTGTCACCTGGTCATCAATTTAATTTTTTGTCGAACCGTCGGGGCTCGAACAGGTCCACTTCCTGTGGGGCTGCTTCTGGAAGAAAGAGTTCATCACAAAGAGTCCCACTTTCTCCATGAAGTCGGCCAGCTGCTGGCCCCTTCGGTTTCGTTGCCCTAATTCAAATTTACCTACTCTCAGCTCACCGTTCTCCCTTGTGCCTAGCTTTGCGTTGAAGTCTCTCATTAACATCGTGTAGTGGCTTTTGGAGGAATGCATGACTGGAGATATATCCTCATACATTTCTTCCACTTCCTCATCGAGATGTGCCGAGGTTGGTGCGTAAACCTGTGTGACCTTCAACGATTATCGTTTGGCGATTCTGAGTATAAGGTACGCAACTCTCGTCGACACTCTCAATCTTTACAACGTTGTTAACGAGAGACTAGTGGACAATAAATCCGACACCTCCTCGGAAGAAATGGTCGCCCTTCTGGTGATAGAACAAGTTGTCGGACTCGAGGATTACCATATTCACCCCCTCTCTTCAGACCTCAGATAATTCTCTAATATTCCAGCGCAACTTATCTATCTCTTCTTCCAGCTCCAGGATCTTCTCGTCAGTCCTCAGGGTACGAGCGTTATAAGTTGCCAGGTCGAGTCGTTTTAGGTGGTAACCGAACCTCCACCGGAGATTCAAAGCATTGTCGCTGCCGTAGGCAGGAATAGAGGGGCCGCCGGGGACTGGGGGCCGTCTCTTCGTACCTTTCATCATGTGGGGAGGGGGGAGTATGGTGCCATAGTAACAACCGCAGTTTTTTTATTGTTGTTTTGCTGTTATCAGAAAGATGCTGCTGCCCATCTTCTGCAATATTTTCCAGTACTAATTGAATATTTGAGCCTCGCGAATGAACTAAATTAGTTCTGTAGTTACGAATAAAAGCGTAGATATACAGCTTCGCTCTTGGTTTTATATGAGCTATAAAGCTAGCGTCTAAGGCCTAGGTATTCATTGATACATTTATTTATTATATGGCATTATTTTAATATGATACTTAAATAGTATAGACTTTACGGGTAGGCCTGGGTATAGAATTTTTATCGATATAATTTGTCACACTGTCTTATCTCTATTACTAGTTCCGTGGACGTTCACTTCTGCTATCAGCGCCATAATGCCGAAAATCAAATAGCCTCATTATGTCGCGATGTATAGCCAGTCCATATGTATATAGAGGTCAGTGTAAAAATATCATTATAATGTTAGTTTAGATGATGTGCATGTGACAATTAAGGCTCAATGTTTATATGAACACATAATGTATCATTGTAAGTTTTAAGAGAAAACGTCGACGATGCTGTCACATTTGACATAAAATATTATAGTATATATTATTATAATTGTATTTCTCAGATTTATATAGTGCATTGCTATTATTGTTATGAATAGAGATATAATAGATACACAGAACAATACAGGCAATGTTAAATTCAAATGTTACGACATAAATTCAATGTGTGGACAAAATCTTCGACAGCGTGTGATGTTCGTTGCAATCGCTGCTTTAGTAAGAAATAATATGAAATCATAACATTTTGTATAATTTTCGGAAAATAAGTTTCTATTCCCAAAAATAAATTGTGACCTCAACTTATTTGACCAAATCAATACTATACGTTTCAGGTGATATCCGTGGTGGTACTCTTATCTTCAGTTGCATATCTTTTAAATTCAGCGTCACTGGATGCTTATATTATTAAGCAACCCGTAACTGCTATGAACTTAATTTTTTCTTTAGTGGCTGCCAGTATCTCGAGCTATCAAATTGTTATATCATTATTATTGTTATGGCAAGGTTTTTGGGTAAAGTAACGTTTTAACTTGTAAAGTCATATGATATATTTTTCTTCATAATGTTTCTTGAAAATAGAGTTCCTCACATTTTCATCAATGTCATTACATTTATTTCTAATACAGGTAAATAGTGGCATATTTTTATGCTCCTTGTGGTACGTGTCACATCTATCTATTCTGGTGGTATACTGGATACTTTTTGGAGCAAGGACGGTTATATGTTTCAATGAAAATCGTCGTATACAAGCCCTTCTTACCATTTTTATTGGGATCGTTTACCAAGGTATTTGTTAATATAGTAAAATTATTTATTCTTATCCGATTTCGATTCTTACTGACGTCATAATCTTTTTCACCATTCCCACATTTCCAAAATAAAGATCTGTTCAGAGAAAAACACGCAAGAAACTGGGTTCCTATTTTTCAACGACATATTATAATGCTAAGCATTTTTATAATAACAAGGTAATATAAAAATCGATCTGATAAATATGAATTTACGTCCCTAAAAGTCCGTGCTTGATATATAATGAAAGACGTTTTCTTATATACACACGAATCAAATTACCATATTAATACGAACTCCATCGGTATTAATTTCACCTTATACGCTACTTACGATGTCCCTCCCCGTGACCATGGAGGCTACAAAGCACTAGGTCATGGCGAGTGTGTGAATACAATGTTGTGATTAAGGATATTCTGCTGAAAAGATATTTTTATATAATTTTTACAAAACACTTAGTAAAATGTAGCCTGTTATGTAATATTTTAAATAACGTTCGCGTCGTCTCTTCGCTTTTTTGGCAAATAGTTAAAAGCATAGAGTACAAAAAGTCACAAGAAAAAACCTAGTCCACCCACTGACACTTATTACGATATCCTAAAAGGCATTTCCTAAAAGGCTTCTTAGCACTCAGTTGGAAATTTAAAAGGTTATTTTTTCTTAATCAGTAGCAGTGGTAGCTCAGGGTCTTAGCGCTCACTGTTAGTTTCAGAGTACGCGAGCAACCCGGGTTCGATCCCCGCTGGCACCAATGAAATTGTTAATTGCAATTTTATGTGATGATTTACCACGAGCTCGGCAGTGATGGAAAATATCGTGAGGAAATCATACAGGTTTTTAAGGACTGGGAATTAAAAAAATAAAAAATATTCTGAAGATATGTGAAGTTTGCTAACAGGCATTGGGGCAGCGCGGCGGATACTTCCTTGATCTAAACCCTCTCAGAAATGAGAGGACACCTATGGCCAGTAGTGGGACGTATATAGGCTGTAATTTTACTTTGTTACATTTTTATTAAAATCGACATTTCGTTACAATTAATTTCATGACATGTTACATCTATTTGTGTTGACAGACAACAATCTTTCTTAGATACTTGAGATAAGTTTAAATAAAGACAACATTTTTACAAAACGACTAACGGAAGAAGGCTAACTCTAGTAGTTTTATTTAATAAAATTTACAAAAGCATTCAAATCAAAATATCAAAGCATTTTTGTTATATTTCGTCACAATTTTTTTTAACGTTAAGTTGATTTTCTATTTCCCGTGTAGTGGCGGGTAAGACTACTCACTACCCCATATCTTCCCGTGAGTGTCGTAAAAGGCGACAGAGGGAACCTCAGACAGAAGATCGGCAGCAGCATCTTTCTGAAAATAGCAAACAACAATAAAAAAGTACAGTTGCCAACCCACTCGACAAGCGTGGCAACTATGGCAATATACCCCCATGAAAGTAACGAGGAGTCGACCCCCAGACCATGGTAACGGCGGGGCAGAGAGTGCTAAGAATCTCCGGTAGAGGTTCGATTGCTACCTACGACGACTCGACCTGGCAACTTATAACGCACGAACCCTGAGGACTGACGAGAAGATCCTGGAGCTGGAAGAAGAGATACACAAGTTGCGCTGGAATGTCATAGGGTTATCCGAAGTCCGAAGAGAGGGGGATGACACGGTAATCCTCGAATCCGGCAATATGGTCTATCACCGGGAGGGCGACCATCTGTCCCAAGGAGGTGTCGGATTTATCGTCCACAAGTCTCTCGTTAGCAACGTTGTAAAGATTGGGAGTGTGTCGCCGAGGGTTGCGTACCTTATCGCATAGTCAGAATCACCAAACGGTATTCGCTGAAGGTCATACAGGTTTACGCACCAACCTCGGCACACCCCGATGAGGAGGTGGAGGAAATGTATGAGGATATCTCTAGAGCCATGCATTCCTCCAAAACCCACTTTATGGTGTAAATGGGAGACTTCAATGCAAAACTAGGTACGTGGTAGAGCCATGCTGCAGCTATATTATAGTTGTAGCACAAATGGGTCGGCTTGACCGGAGAAGGAACACGCTCTCACAGAATACCAGCGTAAAATAGCAGCTTAACGCTGCTGTGTTTCATATGGTGAGTGTAGAGAACCGGAGACCCTTTTTACTGGAAACGAGGCATTCCATCTTAGTCCTCACGGGTGACAACGCATCTGCATTTTGATTCTTAATCGAAGATAGATGTGGATGTCTATGGGCCACAGCAACCACTTACCATCAGGTGGACTGTGTGCTCGTTTTTCACCCTTATCATATAAAAAACAAGAGAGAAGGGTGAGAGTAGGGCTTGCGAAAATGCATGCGGCGGGACTTACGCCGCATGCATTTAATACTGCTCGTATTAAAGAAGCGATGGAGCGGAACCAGGGCTCCAAAGTCTTTGCTAGAGATCTGTCTGCCAGAAAGAGCCAACTGTCGAAGCTGAAGACCGAGTGTGGCAGCGTCTTTGCCAGGACACCTGAGATTTTGAGTGAGATTGAGAGGTTCTATGGGCAGCTGTACACATCATCGTTTGTGCCACAAGTAAGTGTGTGTAACGATCCAAGAGCGAGTCTTATCCGAGACTATTCCGATGATATTCCGTACGTTAGTCTGAGCGAGATTAGAATGGCTCACCAGCACCTTAAAAACGGCAAGGCTCCAGGCGAGGATGGAATTACAGTGGAGCTTCTGAATACGGGTGGAAAACAGGTACTTGAAGTCCTTTAGAAGCTCTTTAATTCTATCCTCCATGGTGGCACTACACCGGAGGCGTGGAGTAGAATTGCGGTGGTCTTATTCTTCAAGAAAGGTGACAACGCTCTCTTGAAGAACTACAGACCGATTTCCCTTCTGAGCCGCGTCTACGTGCTGTTTTCGAGAGTTATTACGAATCGTCTCGCGCGCAGACTTGACGACTTCCAGCCTCCCGAACAAGCTAGTTTCCGAAAAGGCTTTAGCACCATAGACCACATACATATCCTTCGGCAAATTGTACAGAAGTCCGAGGAGTACATTTTGCCACTATGCCTAGAGTGTGGACTATGAGAAAGCCTTTAATTCCGTCGAAATTTGGGCGGTGCTGCAGTCCCTTCAAGTTGACTGTCGGTATATCGAAGTGCTGAAGTGCTTGTACAGTAGGGCTACGATGGCTTTCCGAGTACAGAACCAGAGTACGAAACCTATCCAATTGCAGAGAGGTGTAAGACAGGGTGATGTTATATCCACGAAACTCTTCACCGCTGCATTGGAAGACGTTTTCAAGCTTCTGGACTGAAAGGATACGGTATTAATATCAATGGCGAGTACATCACTCACCTTTGATTTGCCGACGATATAGTTCTTATGGCAGAATCGCTGGAGGATCTAAGAACTATGCTCAATGACCTCAGTAGTGTCTCCCAACGGATAGGTCTTAAGTTAAACATGGACAAAACAAAGATCATGTTCAATTTCCATGTCACACCTATGCCGGTAGTTGTTGGGAGCACTAAGCTCGCAGTTGTTGACGAGTATGTTTACCTGAGACAAATAGTCCGACTACGTAAGTTCAACTTCGACCGAGAGGTCAATCGACGTATTCAACTCGGTTGGGCAGCGTTCGGGAAATTACGGCACATCTTCTCGTCAGGTATACCCCAAAACTTGAAAACGAGACTGTGAAACCAGTGCGTGTTGCCAGTGATGACCTATGGTACTGAGACGTGGTCCTTCACTGCTGGCCGGATAAGGAAGCTCAAGGTCGCTCAGCGAGCTATTGAGAGGGCTATGCTCGGAGTTTCTCTGCGTGATAAACTTAAAAATGAGGTTATCCGCAGTATAACCAGAGTAACGGATATAGCCCAACGGATTAGTAAGCTGAAGTGGCAATGGGCCGGCCATATAGCTCGAAGAACCGACAGCCGATGGGGAAAAATGGTTCTCGAGTGGCAGCCTCGTACCGGCGGACGAAGTGTAGGGCGTCCCCTCACTAGATGGAGTGACGACCTGGTAAGATATGCAGGAAGTCGATGGATGGAGGTGGCTCAGGACCGTGCTTTGTGGCATTCCGTTGGGGAGGCCTATATTCAGCAGTGGACTTGTGAAGGGCTGTAATGATGATGATGATGATGATGATTTTCAATTTCGAAAAACAAAAAGCACAGTGAAAAATTGTGTCTGTTAGGTAAAAGAATGGCATCCCTTTGCCGCAAACATACCTCACTTTATACACATTCATTCTTTGAATGATTCATTCTTTGAATGAGTATGCATACGACATAAGCGTAGTAATGTGCTGCAATGAGTGTGTTAGCTCCAAACTATCATACTAAACTGCTCGTGTTAAGTCTCATAATTAGTCAGCAATAAACCATATTTTGGGCAGTTGCCACTTTATCCAGTGAACCACTGCTTAACTTAATAATACGTAATACGGGGTTGCCACTCGAGAACTTTCATTCCTATCTTAACTATATATATATCGAATTATGTGGCCGGTCCGATACTAACTAATTTTGCAGACCAATTATATTTTTTTTTTTTACTTTTTTTTGTTACTTTGGTTCGCGGATTGTTACGGGTTCTAATGTCATTATAACCTCTGTATCGATTTGAATCCCTTATACTATGAATTGTTTATTTAATTAAAATTTTAAGCGTGCTTAATTTTCTACGATAAACATCAACGAGGCAACTTCTTACTCGTACCGAAACGTTAGAAATTAAGAAAGTTAAAATTAAACACGATAAAATCCGTAAAATTAGTTTAATGTGTAGTATTTGCGTAGTAAGAAATCACTAAGTTCTTCCTCCGTTCTTCGAAGTTATTCAAGGCTTGATTTCATTAAACTAATGGCCATTTGATTATTAATGGTTCACGGTTGAATTATTTAAAAGGGATGTTGTCCTCGAATGCTTTTAAAATTTCAACAATTTCTTTATCAAACTGAAGTAATAAGCAAATTAACATTCTAACTGATGGTAAGTGGCTACTGGATACCTATGGACACCTACCAACCAGCTTCAAACTAAGATGGCTACGCCAACTGCCACCCCTGACGACTTAGATGGAGTTTTTTTATAGGATAGGGGGCAAACGAGCATACAGCTCACCTGTATGTGAGTGGTAAGTGACTACCGCCGCCCATGAACAACTGCAACACCAGGGGAATCGCAGATGCCTTGCCGGCCTTTTAAAAAGAAGTACCCTCTCTTCTTGAAGGTCCCTAAGTCGTATCATGTCTCATTGCTTATAATTATACTGAATCTTTACTATTCAAACTTTCTAATCGTGTTTACTGATAGCTTACTGCTTACTGCTTGGGGGCAGAAATAAGTAAGATGGTTGGTCCTTCCCACCCAGAACTCCTAGTCACGAAATGTCTTTTATCTAATATATTATATCGCCTTGGACCTAATCCTATTTCCGCAATAGTTAGAATTTCCATTTGTTTTGATAAAGTTCGGTTGAAATTATGTGTGGTTGTAAAATGTTTTATTTTTTATTTTCAGCACTGTTCACCTACTTTTGTGTTGTCGTAAATAGGTATCTACATTCTTCAAATCAAGACCGCTATTTTTGATTGATGTTTAAACAAAATATAGTTAATTAAATAATTAAATAAATATTTTGTGTGTGTATTTGCCATTTTTTTTCTTTATTTAGTTTTAGTTAGCAACCTACGTACAACTTTTAAAACGTTTAGATATAATGAAATGTTTTCTTACCACGTACAGAATATACACTCATAAAGTAAATTAATATCAGACCACAAACACTGCACTGTCTGACGTAGTTTTTAACTCTTTTATAATCGCTTCAGTTTAATTTTATAACAGTCGGGTTTTGTTATGAATTTTATTTACTGCCTTATCAGACGTGACTGGTCCGAGTTAAAATTATTTTAAAAGGCTATTCAAGCTGTCAAAATACTTTTTATAGTATAGAAAATCATTCACTATTTCTGTGCCTACTATATCATGATCGCCAAGCTTTTCATATCACGATTACTTAAATTCCATTTTAAAATCTTCGTGTTTTTGCAGACAGAATATTTCACATCAATATTTAGAATTATTCATATAATCGGAACCGTGGTAGCTCAGGGCTAAGCACTCGCTGTAAATTTCACCGTACAAATATACTTATAGTAGGTTAGATATTATAATATTACGCTGTAATATTTAATATTTGAATACAGTAATATTACGTGGTATGCTTGCGTTTGGATTTAATTTTTTTAATCATGGGTTACCAAGCAGATAGTAGCATCCAGCCATCTTCTCTACTGAAATTAGGATAGCATTTTTTAAAGATAACGATTTTTCGTATTAAACAGTTAAAGCTCTTCTTCTATCTTTTAAACAAACTTAATAAATAAAATAACGGCGAAACTATCGTAGCGAAATTATATCTGGAAAACGAGAAGTAACACGAGTTAAAAATAAGTCAGTTGTAGTGCAGCTTTAATTAGTACCTTACAACATCCTTGTTTAAATTCATGTTGTAACACAATCCTTAATTTGACTGAATCCTCAGTGGACTTTGAAATTCAAACTCAATTATGACTTTGCATGTGTATGCCTTGCTAACTAGATTGGATAATGTTTGTTTATTTTGCAGTGGTGACTATTTTATTCACTTACTGTCTAAATCCCTAGACCTATTTAAAAATAATCAATGACTGGTGATGTGAGCAGTGTTACAAGTGAAAGTAGTCTCTGAATTCACCAACCGACAAAGAGTATGTTGAAGTATTCCGGGATTTTATGTTAGTCGCTGCAGATGACCCTGTTTCATTTAGTAGATGTTATAAGAGGCGACTATGAGAAATGTCAACAAGATTTCATGGTTCAAGATAGATAGCAGTATAATTACTAAATATTTCTAAACTAATGTTAAACACTCACTACCCGCGGTGCAATAAAAATGGAAAAACAGGACGCCTTGCGCTCTCTGTCGCACTTACGGGCCTTACGGCAGGCATAGTGACGTGTCACTGTCGTGTCGATGTGTATATTATAAAAAAGTAAAGAATACAAAGTAAAAAGAAAACTGTTCAATAACTTTATTTATTATTGGTCAAAATACATACCTAGACTAAATAAAATGAATAAAAATTTAAAATAGATGTACAATAATTAATCTTCCTCCGAGTCCGAGTCGCTGTCGCTACCGTCATCTACGCTAATGACAAGGCGCTAACTTAAACGTCCAAATGTCAAATGAATATAGAAGTATATTAAGACTGGTATTTATACCCTCTAAACGTAATTAATAATTATTATTAAATTATCATTGCAGAGAAATATTAAATTACCCACACTTATTAATAAACTACTGCGCGCCAGCGCACACTAACCTTCATTCTACGAATCAGTAAGCGGTTATCGATAAGTGACGCACCGAACGCGTTTGTCCCTAGCACACCGATGATTTATGGCACCGCGTGTAACGAGTGTCTAACATTAGTATAACCATGTAGTGGGCAGTGTAAGAATATCCACTACCCCATATCGTCCCGAGGGTGTCGTAAGAGGCGACAAGGAAAAACAAAGTAAGAGATGGACAGCGTCTTCCTAATAACAACCAAAAAAAAACCTCGGTTGTCAACCCGCCTTCCAAGAGTGGCAACTATGGTAGATATCTTCCTTATGAGGCATTCTACGGAGAGACTTATGTTCAACAGTGCAATTTGATAGGTTGAAATTAATAAATTAATTAATATACACTAAATATAAAATGCATAGATCAGCGATGGGTAGAAGTGTCATAGATGCAATTGGTATTTTTGTATCGGTGTTGCCGTTGCTAATCCGCTTGTTTGAGGAGCGTGACTATTGCAAGAAATCTATTCAATGGGACATGTTAAGCAGCGGATTTTATAAACGGTCTCTCTTTCTAATATATTTTTTTAAATAAGCATTTTTATTCTTCTATTTTTCATTCATATAGCCCATTAAAAGTTCACTGCTCACTTAAATTGTTTAAGGAGTTATTCGCTATAGTTGTCACGGTTGGTAGGCGGGTTGGCAACCTTAGATTTTTATTACTTCTAATTATTATCAAGAAGATGCTGATGCCCATACCCTGCCTAAATTTCCCTCTATTGCCTCTCACAACACTCACGAGAAGATATATGGTAGAGGGTACTCTTACGCTCCCTCAATGTTGAAAGATTTGCTCTTATTTACTTTCATTTAACTCATATCACTTTTTTGTAACGAAGGTGAAAAGAGCACAAACCCTATCTGTTGTTATGTGCATGCTGTGGCATGTAGACACCCGTACATCTATATTCAAATAAGAGGCAAATGCCTGCAGGATGAAATGCCTCGTTACCAACAAAAAGGGTCTTTGGTACAATCACCATACGAAACACAACAGCATTAAGCTGCTCTTTTATTCTCGTATTCTGAGAGAGTGCGGTCCTTGCCCGGTTGAGCCAACCCATTCGTTCTACAAACATAATTTATGCCAGCGGTAGAGCCACGCTGCAGCTCTACAAAAAATTATCATTAACAGGTCTACAAATTAGCCCATGAAGGAAATACTGAATCTTTTTAGTCGAGTAACTGATATTACTAGCTGGTGCTTGTTCTTAGTGTTCACAGAATGTACATTAGTATTCATTTCAAATCTTGTATAACGACAATTCTTCTTAACTGCAGTTCTTATGACAATCCAAAATTGTGAGGGTATTCATAAAAAAAATATATACTCTGATGCGTTCATTATTTAGACGCAAATAATATGCATGATTAATATTATAATATTACGAGTGCTACCAACACAAATATTAAGATACTTCAGAACAATTTTTGTCATATGGTTGTTAATAAATTGTCTCTGCACTCCTAAATCACCCGTCACTACTGTTTCATGATTCCATGATTCTTGGGTTAGCGTATAGTTAGGAATTATTTTTTAATATGCCAGCGGCTATGCAGGTCTAACAATAATAGTTTCACTGCGACTAGTATTATCTATTTTGATAATTGTTATGGCTATACTCACTTGGTCATTGCTAAGCCCTACATTTTTCGCTACAGGCATAGGCTAAAGCTAGGGGTCGACTATCAACGCTTTGTGGCGGAGTGCTAACGCTAAGTGTGAGTAAAATGTAAGTTTCAATACTGGGTGGCTGATTATCAACGAGCGGCATAGAACCCATACCGCATGGTAGGATATTATGATGGTTGACTGACAGGCTCTACAGCAAAGGGTTAAGGTAAAATATCAGTCTCATTTCACTGCAGGCCTGCACAACAGTGTAGTTGAATGAAAATGAAAGGGGATGAAATTTAAAAATAATAAGTTTTTAAAACTTATTACACGCGCAAATGAAATAGAATAAAAAAATAATACGAAACTCACCAACGCATTAAATACAAAAAGGAATTAAAATGAAATTTTGAATAGTAAACTGTATTCTCTAAAAGGCCACAAAATGGAAATTATCATAGAGTAGAATAGCTGCTACATGTTTCACAACTTGTAGCGACTAGCTGTCAGTTGTTCGTTTCGAGTTAGATTTGCAAACGAATATGCGTGCCTCATAAAATTTGTCGTTGTTAGATTTCAAAAAATTTAAGCTTTGTGTCTTGTACTTGTGTTACTAATTGGGAACCTTAAACAAGCTTGTGAAATTAGTATTGAAATGTCTTTATTTTAAACCGTTACCGTTACAGCCTATTAAAGTCCACTACTGAACATGGGTTCCCCCATATATTGTTCTACAGGTGGGATATTTGCCATAGTTGCCACGATTGGCAAGCGGTTTGGCAGCCGCAATTTATTATTTTGTAATGATTTCTTATATTTACGCGAACACTACACATTTTTAAATAAAACTAATTTTACGGATTTTATCGCGTATATTAACTTATTTTTATATATTCCCGACGTTTCGGGTGCTTTCCAGCACCCGTGGTCACGGGGGACTGAGTTGTTTGACGTCCTGCTGTCATAGTTAGCCCGGCTACCTTCAGTTTTTTAATATTAATTTTTGGTTCGATTTACGCAGAATGAGCTTACAGTATCTTGAAGTCTAGCAGTGGTATACTTGGGTTTGGATTTGATTTTATTAATTATGGGATCCCAAGCAGATGGCAGCACCCATCCATCTTCTCTATTGAAATTAGGATGTTTTTTAATTTCAATAGCCTCGCGAATCATCCTTGGGAGGAATCGGTGTTCTTTTGCGAGGATTTGTGGTCTATCAAATCTAATGTAATGGCGGGGACGATCTTGAACATGTTCACAAACTGCAGACTTCCCGATACGTCGGTGCTTCACGTCAGCTATATGTTCCTTAACGCGGGTTTTAATAGATCTTTTTGTTTGTCCTATGTACGAGAGACCACATTCACAATCCAGCTTGTACACTCCTGCATCTTGTAGAGGGATTTGACACTTGACGGATGGTAAAAATTGACTAATCTTCTTCAGCGGCTTGAAGTACGTTTTAATGGAAGCTCGCTTCAAGATGTAGCCAACCTTGTCTGTGACTCCTCTGACATAGGGTAGTACAGCAGGCACACGCTCGACTGTGGCTGGCTTCACTCGGTCACTGTGACGTAG